CTTCTTCTTCTTCTTCTTCTTCTTCTTCTTCTTCTTCTTCTTCTTCTTCTTCTTCTTCTTCTTCTTCTTCTTCTTCTGCTCCTCCTTTTCCTTCTCCTTCTTCATTTCATCCTCCTCCCCTCTTCTTCTTAAGATTTATTTATTTTTATTTTATGCGCATTGGTGTTTTGCCTGCATGTGTGTATGGGTAGAAGGTGTGAGGGTGCCAGATCCCCTGGAACTGGAGATAGGGAGCGTTGTGAACTGCTGTGTGGGTGCTGGGATTTGAACCTGGTTCTCTGGAAGGGCAGCCAGTATTCTCAACTAGTGAGCCATCTCTCCAGCCCTTTCAATCATTCTTTTAGGCCTTGGCTTGTCTGCTCTAAGGCCTATGTATTTAGTTAGGGTTTTATTGCTGTGAACAGACACCATGACCAAGGCAACGCTTATAAAGAAAAGCATTTAATTGGGGCTGGCCTACAGTTTCAGAGGCTCATTCTGTTATCATCACTGCAGAAAGCCTGGCAGCCTGCAGGCAGACAAATTGCTGGAGTTCTATGTCTTTGATCCACAGTCAGCCAGAAGGAGACTCGATTCCATACTCGATGGAGCTTGAGAGTAGGAGACCTCAAAGCTCACCCCCACAGTGACACACTTCCTCCTCCAAGGCTATATCTCCTAATAGTGCTACTTCCTAAAGGTGAAGCATTCAAACACATGAATCTACGGGGACTATCCCTATTCAAACCACGATAGCCTGTCTGCTTCTGGCTGAGTGTATTGTTCTCCAGAGCTAATGGGTGTTTGTCTCTGAGGAAGAGTATTTCATTTTTTTTTCCTACGGAAATAAATAACACACACACACACTTGACCTTCTGTGTCATTATCTGTGGCTTGGTCCAGGGCCACTGAACATACCAATATCTGCACAAGTCCCTCATATAGAACTGTAGAACAGTGGTTCTCAACCTCCGTGTTGAGACCGGGGGGGGGGGGGGGGGCATTGAATGACTCTTTCACAGGGGTCACATACCAGATATCCTGCATTTCAGAGATTTACCTTACAATTCATAACGGTAGCAAAATTACAGTTATGAAGCAGCAACAGAAATAATTTTATGTTTGCGGGTGGCCACAACATGAGGAACCATATTAAAGGGTCACAGCATTAGGAAGGTTGAGAACCACTGTGGTAAAATAGCTGACTACAACTTTGACATCTTCCCATAGACTGCAAGTCGTTTCAAGATCACGCGAACACAGTATGATGTAAGTGCTATGAAAATAGATATAGTCTATTGCTTAGGAAATGGTGACAAGAATATGTTTGCCTATGTTCAGGGTAGGCACATATATCTCCACATTGATTGAACGCATGGCTATTTTATTTTATATATGTATATATGTACACTGATACACACAAAGTAATTAAATTATTTTCTGAGTTGTACTGTTGCACTTTGGACATTCTCTCCCTACCCTACCTCGTGTGTGTGTGTGTGTGTGTGTTAGTTTCTCCTCTGTTACTATGCTAAAATACTCTAACAAAAAGCCACTGAGGGAGAAAGCCTGCCTTCATGGTGCATCTCACCGCCTTAATCAGACAATGCCTCAACTGAGGCTTTCTCTCCAGGTGATCCTGAACATGACCGCCTGATCTTCCTGCCCCTGCTTCTGAATTTCTGAGATTACAGGTATGCATTACCACACTATGATTGCCTTGGATGTTTTCTTTCTGTTTATCTTATTTCAGTCTTACTGTTAAGTTGCCAAGCGTGGCTAAGTCAATATTCCAGTGCCTTCATGGAGTACAGCCACTTAGCAAGGGGAGGCGTTGGCTCTTTCTAACACCCTTCCCTCTTTTTCTCCACTTCCAGGAAGATTCTTTTCCTCTGGATTCCTAGGCATTGTTTTGCTTGTGGCTTGTAATCCTGGAGCTGAAAAATAAGATTCCAGTATCTGTGTATATGTGCCCCATCTGTCCCCTCTGTGTGCCAAGGACTAGTACTAAGTGAAACACCTGCCTTCAGGTGATTCCCCCACAACTCTCCACTCTCTCCTGCTAAAAACTCTTTCTACTATGCTCAGCCTGAGGCTGCAAACGCAAGCCTGGGTGGGTGACAGCTCTGGGCATCTTAAGAAAGTCTTCTCCCTCACTTTCTTGTTCCACTCCTTCCTATTCAGGACTACCTCTTGGGATTTTCCAGAAATGGTTATCAATGATGCCCAGTGGAGATGTTTGTTGGTCCGTAGGCTGACCATGAATAAGTAGATGCATCATAAAGAAAGAAGAGAAAACGAAGAAGCAGCAGAGGAGAAACAGAGGGAAAAGACTGAGACTAGAAGAGGAACATTTTGGCACTCTTCAGAGATCGGAGGTTTTTTCAAAGCCTGTTAAATCTTAGAAAGATCCAGCCTAGCTACCTATGGATATTATTAGAGGAGCTTGGCAATGCTCACATCCAGGTGGACGTACTTCTAGGTGGATAATGTCCAGCCTAGGGGGAAATTTTTCTCTGCACTTAGCCTGGTTCTGTAATGGGGGTCCTGCTTTATCAGTCAATGTTCTCACGGCTATGACAGAATATCTGACAAAAACAGCTTCAGTAAGCAAAGATTCATTTTGGCTCATGGCAATTTTCCAGGAACTGAATGACCTCACTCAGAGGAGGACCCTCAACACAAAGAAAGCAAGTGTGTCAGCAATCAGGCCTTTCCACCTGTCTGCCCTCGGGAACCTAGTGGCTGCTTATGTCATCACCCACAGCTGCCAGGTACACCAGGGGCTCTCCAGCCACCCCAGATTTCTCTCCCATTCCCTATCTTTTCTATCCGCCCTCTCTCCTGGTTCCTCTCTGTCTCGTTTGTACACTCCTTCTCCCTCATTCTCTGTCCTGTTCATTCTCTGCTCGTAGGTCTCTCTCTCCTTCATGTCCCCATTCTGAGACAGCCTTTCACTCTCCCTTCCCCCAATAAATCTCTTGCACTGGAAC